GGAAATTTCCATTACTTGCATCTGAAGAAGTGAGGTTCTTACCCACGAAAGCTTATGCTCCCAATACTTCTGTTAGTCTTAAAGGTGGCAGAGGACCCTCTGTTGCTTTTTACAGATTCAGACTAACACGGCTACCCCTCTGATACTTGTAACATTCTTGTATCTGAAGCTAGAAATATGAAGTATAACTCCGAGGTCCTATTGTAATTATGCAAAGTGTGGGCTATTAATGGTGGTTTAGAATCTTGATGGCTCCCATTGACTAGGACAATTGCTTGTAAGTGGTTTATTTACCTGCAAGCTTTCCTGTGTAAGTGTGGGCCAACCCAGGAAGAATGGAGACTAGGGGTCATACACTGGCATGTGACCATGTCACATGATACCGGAATCCATCTTAATCATTGTACTTTTCCATTGATGAGGCGAGGGTGGAGACAAGCACAGACAAAAGATTCCCACCTTGTGCCAAAGCTATAAAAAAAATCCCTGCTTACCACCTGAGATGTCTGCTGGAACTAACAAGGACTGTACCAGGGGAAAGGATTGGGCCCAGACTAGGAAGGAGTCTAGTCTGTGAAAGAAGCTTGTTGGAACATCTCTGAGGGTGAAATATTACCTGTAATCAGTTTCTTAATGTATTAGGCTTAGACTTGCATGTTTTTGCTTTATTTTACTTGGTGACTTACTTTGTTCTGTCTGTTATTACTTGAAACAGTTTAAATCCTACATTTTATACTTAATAAAATCACTTGTTTATTAATAAACCCAGAGTAAATGATTAATACCTGGGGGAGCAAACAGCTGTGCATCTCTCTCTATCAGTGTTATAGAGGCCAGACAATTTATGAATTTACCCTGTATAAGCTTTATACAGAGTAAAACAGATTTATCTGGGGTACTGGCTCCCAGAAAGGCTGAACACTGGCTGCTGGGAAAGTCCCTGTTAACTGAGAAGCTCCTGGGCTGAGTGAATCTCAGTTTCAGTGAACTGCAGAGAGGCATGGTCCAATCTCTGGGTCTGTGCTGGAGTGTCTAACTCAGCAAGACAGGAGTAGAGAGGTGCCTGTTCTGGCAGGAGGGTTGTTCTCAGTGGTATCCCAGGTCATAGAATGACAGTCTCGAGAGGAGTCTCTGTGACCGAACCCATCACACATACAATGAAAAATGAGGGCAGGAGAGCAGTGAAAAGATCTTTCTGTACCTCTGCTGAGATCTCACACACCCACTAGCAAAGAACAATCCTGCACAAGAGACAAAGAGAGAAAACACCTCATCTTGCCATACTTACACCTTTTGTTAATCATTATTATTCATATAACACCAAATATATGCTAGGTGCTGTCACGGTTCAGGGCAACTGTACCTGTGTTTCCCCTCAGTGGTACAGGAAGGGCCCCCAGCTCTCCAGCCATCCCCTCTCTTGGGTGGAGACCTGTGTCTCTTTTCTTCCTGAACAGGGTGTCTTCAGGCTGAACAGTTCCCAGCAATCACCGTGTTATTCCCAGGAAAAGACAATCTGTTAAGCACATCTGCTTGCTTTTTCTCCAGAGACTAATAGTGTTTGCTGATCACAATTAAGCTACCACACAGCTCTTCCTAAGCAAGCACGTTTATTCTTCGGGTAAAAGCACTCCAGAGAAAACATATTAAAAACAATAAGAGAACCTGTGTGCATGCAGACAAGCTTACCAGAGGTCACCCCAACTCCACCATGGCAGGAGTTCTTCCACACCCCACAAAATGGTCTCTGCTATGGTCAGAAGCCTCAGCTCAGAACCAGCACCCAGTCTTATGGGGCCTCAGATGGTCAAATCCTTCCAACCCTAAAGATTGGGGCCCTCTGTCACCCAGAGGTCCTGTCCATTTGCTGGATCAGGGAGAAGGCCCTGAGTCATCTTTCTGTGAAGTCCTTTCTGTGTCTGTCAGTCCCTGGAGAATCCAGATTGTGTCTCTGAACTGCCCGCATGTAACAGGTGATCAACAGACAACAGGTGCACCCCTCAGGGCGAAGCTTCAAAGACTGAATGTGTAGGTGGGGGGTTGCAATGTCCTCACCTCACGTATTTCCTAGGAGCTCCACTTCACACTTCTGGTCCCCAAAAAGTCCTTGGAAGTTCCTAATCCATCCTAGAGATTGCACTAGTCAGCCTCCTGTAGAAGCTCCACAATAACACATCCACACTTGCATTTTTAATACAATAGACCCCAAGGTATTAAACTTAATTCAATAACATTTATCTTAATTCCATAAGGTGTGTCCAGGGGGGTGTCAGACCAGTCACAGGTGCTCCCAGATGAGAAGACTGAGTCTGAGCTCCATAGAGCTCGCAATCTAAATCTCTACCACTAGGAGCAACAAAAAGTGAGCCATAACGGCAGAGCTGTCCACCAGTCACAGATCCCTTACCTTCTAGCATGGCGACCCAGGCACTCCCATCACATAGATAGAGCCCTTTCCGAGAAGCATTAAACCAGAACTGGGCCTTTTCATTCTTCGTGCAGGGAGGTCGGGATCCCAGAGTCAGTTTCATGTCAGCCTCTGAACACAAAACAAGAGCAAACAGGTCCCTTTAATGCCCTCGATACAATGAAAGATTAAATCGGACCATTAAAAATGGAGACCCACTGCACGCTGCCCTGCCTGAGCATATAGCGTAGGGTGGCCTGAATTGGATAGAGACTCCTACGGATCACAATGGGTTACATGGTTTAGGACCCACACCCCGCAAAGCTCCTAAGCACACACTTAACTTTAAATACATCAGCGTAATCCACTCATGTCAATTAGAGTACGGCTGTGCTTAATGTCAAGCATGTGCTTTAGTGTTGTGCTGAATGGGGCCTTCACTCATGAGAAAGAGATCGCACGTCCACTTTGCAGGAGCGATAGCAAGGGCACTGTTCCAAGACAAAGTCAGACTCAGCAGATATGCTGCAGAGCTCCAAGGGCCTAATCTATTCCATATCTGTTAAGGCCCAAGGTCCAGAAATTTTGAGATATCATACAAATGTACAAGAGCTTAATTTGCATATCGATTACGATGCATGGCCTCATTTCCATATGTTTTTAAAGTGGAAAAAACGTTTCTTTTTTTAATTTTCTCCCTCTGCACCAAGCTCTCCCCCGGTATCTGTTATTCTGTTACAGGGACAAGCAGCCTATTCAAGTCAGTCCTAGGGGATGTCTACACTTGGAGCTGGGGGTGTGATCCCCAGCTGTAGGGGACATACCCATGCTAGCTGAGATGGAGCACTAAAAGTAGAGGGTAGCCACGACAGTGTGATTAGCAGGAAGAGCGAGCTGCCCTGAGTATGTGCCTATGGTCTAGGGCATGTATGCACTCAAGGCGCTAACCTGTCGCACTGCTTGTACCACCATGGCTAGTCTCTATTTTTAGCATGCTAGACTAATCAGTGCTTGTGCATGCATGTCTCATGCTGGTCGGGCGGAACTGCTCTCTCTCTCTCCCCCCCGCTTCTGGCTTACATCACCCGCTGCGGGCCACAGAGCGCTCTCAGATCCCCCTGCTCTCAGTGCCCGGCTCTCCTTTGCTCTCCAGCGACTCCCAAAACTCAGGCCTGATTCTCCTCACTCTTACACCGGTGCAAATCAGGGGTAACTCACTGACATCCAAGGAATCACACTGGCGTGAGCCAGAGCAGAATCGGGCATGGAGACTTACTAATGCATTCATCCCAGAATTCCAGAGTGAGCTCCCCACTCTATTCCCTTTGGGGACACAAAGAGCCCAGACCCCACCATCCTTCTGCATGCTACAAGCCCTGGAAGATGCTGCGCTATGCTTAGAATGATAGTAAATAGCCTGGAGGGGAAATAGAACCACAGTAGTGCTTAGAATAACTGCATAGGGAGTAACGCTGGGCTGTTTTCTGAGCAAGAGAGACCAGCCCAGACCTGTTTCCACAGAGCTCCACATAGCAATGCTCTAATGAGAATATTACTGTGCATTACAGGCATTATATCCCCAGGACAGCTCTCACTAGCTGATCTACGATTCTGAGGGCAGTGCCTTGCTCCCTAGCAATTCTCAGAAGTGGCCTTTGCAAACTGACATGTACCACAAAGATCAGACTCAGAAACGCAGCTTCTCTTGCTATTTCCAAGGGATAAAACCCGCTTCCTTATTGACAGGGCTCTGCAGAATTTGCCACCCAATCCACCCCTTGCCTAAGCTTTCATGTTTAAAAAAAAATTACGGTGGTAGCTATTATGGGACCGACAAACACCTTCCACACAGGAACAGAATGCAAAACACAATAGTGCTGTCTGCCTGAGTCTGCAGACAGCTCAACACAATGGATATGAATGGCCTGAACTGTCTCCATGCTATTTAATAAGCTCTTCACGCTAAAGTCTAATGAAGACTGAATGGTGGATTTATTTCAGGAGTGGGTCTCTGGACTGCTGTATGGGCCAACTCTCCTCCCTGCATCATCCCGCTGGGCCCTTTCTCCATATGCCCCATCCTAAAACTATTCATTAGTATCAACTCCTACCCAGACCGATAGATTAGACCAAATCAGTCATGTCTGGTAGGATTACCATACGTCTGGATTTCCCTGGACATGTCCGGCTTTTTGGTCCTCAAATCCCCGTCCGGGGGGAATTTTCAAAAAGCCGAACATGTCCGGGACAATAGGGAGGCATAAGCCTGGATCCACCCAGCCCCAGCACGACCCGCTGAATCTGCAGCGCAGTCCAGCCGCCCCGGCTACATTGTAGCGAGCGCGGGCTGGGGGAGAGGGGGAGCACAGCCGCAGAAGGCGGCGGAGGGGCCGCTACTGCCCCCGCAGGCCGGGCGGACCGCGCGCCCCAGCCGAGCTCACAGGACCATGGGGAGGCCGGGCCCAGCCAATGGCTCAGGCTTCCCTCACGGGCGGGGACCCCCCGGCCACTGCGGGACCGTTCCTGCGTCCCCGTCGCCCCGCACGGCTCAGAACCTGGCACCGCGGGAGCTGTTTCCAGCGGGGACAGACAGGCCGGGGAACGTGCTCGGCGGCAGCAGGAAGGAGGCTGCGGCGCGTGCCGGGGCTGCAGGGACCCGCGCCGCCCCGGTCACCACTGAGCATCCGAAGCCCCCGCCAGGCAGAGGCTGCCGGGGGAGCAGGGCAGGCGGGGGGCGCAAAGGCTGCAGGGCGAGGAGGAGCAGGACAGGCAGGGGCATAGAGGCTGCAGGGGCAGGCGGGTGCAGAGGCTACAGGGGCAGGGAGGTGCAGGGGCTGCAGGGCAAGTGGGGAGCAGGGGTCGCAGAGGCTGCAGGGGTGGGGGGGTGCGAGGGGGCAGGCGAGGGGCGAGGTGGGGGAGCGAGGGGGTCGCGAGGAG